TCGCTAACGGCATCACGACTAAGCAGAAGAAACTAATATCAGAGGTCTTCATGGTGTCAAGTAGTCGAGCTCGACGGCGACGGAACATGAAGCCTGAATCGCATCACGGCAGGCATTCTCAATCCCGGCCGTCATCCATGTTTGGCGAGGAGCATAACGCCGGAGGTCAAGGCGGGCGGGCCGAGACAGCCGTTGACGGCGCCGGCCGGCTGCTCTTGCTGGGAACGTCGCTGGCGACCTTTTCGGCGTGGCGCATCGCCAAGCGCGCGCTCGACCGCGGCATGCCCATTGCCGTCGTCAACGTCGGCGGCGTGCGCGGCGAGGAGCAGCTCTTTGCCGATGTCGACTGGAAGCAGACGGGCGAGCAGCGGGTGCGCGTCGAGCTGTCGACCGACAAGGTGCTGCCGGCTGTCGTAGAGACGCTGCGCAGGACCAACGGCGGCAATGGCGTCAAGGTGCCGAGAAAGGCGGCCCCGGTGGCGCCCGAGGTGCCGAGGGGAAACCATGGCGCGTTCAAGGACATGTTATCATAGGGGAAGGGCAAGAGCAGTGTAGTTTGTATTCATATTTTTTCCCTTTTGATTCTTTGACAACCCCCCGTGCTTTTTTCGTGGCTTAGAAGAAGCTGCCCATGCCCGTTGCTTGTTGCTGCTGTGGCTTGAGCGATGCGGGAAGGGCCTCGCTGGTGTGCGCGGTTCGTGGGGCGGCCTCGGCGTCCCGCTTGGCCTTGGCGTTTGCCTTTTCTTTTCGGACGGCATCATCGCGCTCGATTTCGCGTAGAACTGTAAAAAGAACATAGTCAGCGACATGGTGTTTGCCGAGTCAAAGTCCTTCCGGCGGTCAGCCTTACCATCGTCCCAGCCCTGCTCCCGCGCCGCATCGCCCGTGCCCAGCGCCCGTTCGACGTCGACCTTCTCCCCCCGCTGTATCCTCTCGACAACCTCCCGCAGCAAGCCGATGCGCACGTCAGACTGGCGCATGAACGTGTCGAAACGCTGGCGCAGTGCAATCATGTTGATGGGTGGGA